ACACACACACACACACGCACGCACGCACCGTACGCACGTACGTACGTACGTACGTACGTACGTACGTACGTACACACACGTACGTACACACGTACCCACGCACGCACGCACGCACGCACGTCCGCGCGCGCGCACGCACGCGCGCGCGCACGCGAGCGCACATCCTCAGCTTATTGTTTTATGATTGTTTCCTGGTCTTGTTTAGGGCCTACAGGTGGTGATCGCTTCGTTCCGGCTTTCATGAGGCGGTCTCTGTGCTTTCAGGGACTCAGAGGTGTTGTGAAGGCCGGGTACCTAACAATGCTTTGAGTTCAGGGTTGTCGATATGGTTGAAGGGTGGTGTTGGTGTCTGTGCCAAGATGCCTGGCATGTGTGTGTGTGTGTGTTTGTCCCATGATAAGTAATCCTGACTAATGCGATCCTCCTTCCCCCATTTGTTTTCAATTCTCCGGACACTATTCGACTCGACAGGACCTAATGGGTGTTTCGGACCAAGCGACATTTCGGCAATCTGGATTCGCTTGGTTGTGCTTGTTTTGTTTGTCATTTGCGTGCTTGTTTGATTTGTTTCTGTTTTCTGCTCTTGTTTGTTTGTTTGTTTGTTTGTTTGTTTGTTTGTTGTTTGATTGCTTGCTTGCTTGTTTGTTTGTTTGTTTGCTAGTTTTGAAATTTTTGGTTTTTGGTGGTGTGTTGCATTCTTGAGCTTGAGTGTTGTGCGCTCGCTTCTTTAGTTCGCTGGGCCTGCTGGGCTTGGAGGGACCTCAGACCGACGAAAAGACCGCGCAGCAGCCCCAAACAGTGGCCCTCCCTCCGGCCAGAAGTGAAGAGAGAGCCAGATACAATCACCAAAAGGGGGGTTCAGCTCAAGCAAACACACACAGTGTCCCGTGAACCGAGGTAGGTTTAGGGCAAAAGTCAAAACCGTCCAAGATCCTGGACCCAAATTTTTTCTGGGCACCGGCGGAGTGGCCAAGCGCAGCCGCAGCGGCGGGAACGGACCCATGAAGGGCTCTTCACCTCACACGACTTGAGAAACCAAAAACACCATCTGGGATCTTAGGCGATGGACCTGGGTCTTCAGGATGGGGGGGGGGGCGGGTGAAGCTAGGGTTTGTTGGACACACCGCTTATATAGTTATGGGCAAGGTATCTCTATAGTTCCAAGGGTCATGAGTTCATGATGATTCAGGTGCTGCACAGTGGCTGCTTCTGCTCGAGGAAGAGGCCTGACCATCTTCCTTTGCAGCGAGTAGGTTTGAATGCGGCACACAAGATGCAAGACATTCTTGCTGTTTCTTAGTAGGGAATGAACAACTGTAGGTAGCCTATATAATACCCCAAAGGGTAAAAACATGGGGATATAGGGTGGCTAATTCCTCTCATTCCCTATTCAGGGCCAGTATGCATTGGACTCTCAGTTGAGGCTTTGCATTGCCGACCGAATTCACCGGCGAAGCGAGTACCGAATGCAAAACAAAACCTAAACTAACCCTAAACCCTAAGACCCAACTCCACAGGATCACGGCCGGCACCAAGATTTCCGGGAGTTTAAGAC